ATTACAGAATCAAATGTCAATTCTATTGTTAACCTATCTTGCCCTAAATTTTCCATAAATAAAAAGTGTAATTCTCGTCAAGTTCAAGATTTGGAGTCGCTTGAGGGTTTAAACATGCTCAACCACAAGTCGCTTGCCTTCCCTTTGAAAGCTTTTGTGACATCTGGATAGACGATTTGATAGGAAACGAGATTTTCTCGTTATCTCTCAAATGTTGGAGATAAACAATCTGGAGAAACAATTGGGTAACCTGCTAGTCAATTTTTAGAACTTTTTTTATCGCAATAGGTCTAGAAATCTTAGCAGTAGAAACTCCTAAGCATGGTTGAATTAATAGTGTCGAGGATAATTTTAGTCTAATATACCAGAGTAGCGTTACCTGCTAGGAAAGGCGTACTCTCATGGAGTTGTTCTTGTTCGGGGGCACGGAGCGGAGCGACTCACGCGCGTGCAGCGCCCATAGGCTTTACCATGCCATTGTTAGATACGCTCTGTCGTTCCAGAACAGCCTTGTATGAGCATATTTTTTCTGTTCAAACTTGTCTAGCTCATAAAATGGAAGACGCTGCTTAAGCACATTATTGTAGACATCGTGGGATGTGCGACGATAGAATTATACTATTGGTATTGATATTAAAATGTAGGGGGCGTAAGGAAACTTCTGGTTCTGAGGAAAGTCTGTTAGTGTGCTTGTTTGAAGCCTATCTACAATACCTGCCGTGTTGAGATGCTGCCACAGGCTGATATTGTATTCATATATATGGATAGGCAGTAGGCAGGGTGGCCCAGTAGTTATAGTTCATAGTACTAGTATTAGAGAAGTGACACGAGTGTTGAAGAGAAGAGCAAGCTGAAGAAATTTAACTCAGTACTCACTGCAGTGAGTGACAGAGAGCGCATTTTCTCGTCGACGAAAACTTGAGGTCACGGACAGACGGACGGACAGACAGACACGGACGACGGAAATAAAATAGGACGGACGGACATGGCGAGCACAATAGTGCATTTTTTTCCATAAATGAGAAAATGCGCTAAAAAGATTTATAAGAGAGCGAACTGCGGTGGTGAATAATTAAATTGTTTGAAGTAGCCCCAAGGGCGAACAAGACTCAAGATAAACAAAACTCTCGTATGATCATGACTCAGTGAAGCACATGATTGAATAATTCACACACTCGAGTAAGCTTCGACATTCCCCTCACGGCATCAGGCGCAGCTTCTGTACAAAAAGAAAGAAGAGAGTCTACTAACATAAACAGTTTATGAGAGAGCGGCGGGCGTGGTGCGGTCCAAAGGTCAACCACAGCTGTTTTCACGGGGCGTCTGATCACTTATTCTCGATGTTGCCAGATTTTCTCGATTAACTATATTGTTAAAACAAAATATTGCAGATATTCATGAAAATAACAAAATTTCCCTTCCGCTAGTCGCGCTCCACCTGTCAACGCGTTTAGTGGGCACCTTGACAATATTTTTAGTTTTAATATATCGTTTTTGCTGTGATTATTCGTATCTAACTCCACCTACAACTAATATTGGACGAGATGCTGATACAAAGCTAATTAGAGAGAGTAAATTCGGCAACGAGCTACATTCATGACGAGAAGTGTGATCGAGGGTGACGATGCTGTGAGACCTCACACATTTATCAACTCATTAAACTGTTTTGAAATAACAGTTTAACAAGTTAACAGTTTTTAATAAAACTGAAGTTTCATTAATATAGTGTTAAAAGTTTTTAATAAAACTGAAGACAAATAACTCCAATGAGTTGATGCAAGAAAATCGGATGAAAAAAACGGTAATACACTGGCTCCCAGCCAGCCATCGATTACTGACAACGCTTAGTGGACTTACGAATAAATAAATAAAGCTTTGAATAGTGACCACGTGATCATTGACGTGCGTAGCTCCGTGGACTTGAACGAAAAAAATCGTCTCGTGGTCTGCTGATCAACTGTCAGTTGACAGGAGTAACTGTCTCGACAGTGAGCTCGGAGTTCTACGCAGACAGTTTTGTGGTTTTCATAAACTTTTTGCGTGGCTCATTTACATTTTCACTATGGAGTCAATTAACCATAATAAGAGAAATCAGCTTGCAGATTAGGCAAAACCAACCGCGAGGGAATTCTCATTAGCCCTCTATCGTTCAAGAGCAAGGTGAAAGAAACGAGGATTTTTAATTCTTAATGAAATGCTCGTGAAAGTTTAAGAAAATTTATTTAAAAGAAAAATAAGATTGAAGCTACAAACCACGAACAAAAAATTCTAATATATAAAAAACAGCAAAAAAAAGTTCGAATTTAAATTTCGAGCATGCGGAATGATTAAGCTCTCACAAAAACATAGTATATTACAATATACTAAGAAACGCACAATAAATATAAGAAGTTTGTCCGCATGACCGATTTGTTCAGTTTCGTCGTTGTGTGCAGCTCAGGGCATGTCGTGACCTGGATCCGCGCTATCAAAATAGTTACGAGTTTCAATTCGTGAGCTAATTACTAAAGTCATGTAACTCTAAACCCACCAATGACAGACAAGAAATCGGTCGCTACGTGTACTTTTGTGAGTTAAAGACGTACGGTCGCTGGAGCATGCGATGGCACAGCCAATAAGAGTCATCACATGGAAACTTAACTACCCCCCAGTGGCCCAGTGGTTAAAGTTCAGAGTACCAGGACTGGAGCAGAGAGGCGCGGGTTCGATCCCAGCTCTGTGCGCCAGTTTCTGGTCAGAATCGGCAAGGAGGCCGGGCGGTTAAGCACAGCAGAATTGTAGCAGTGAGTTGCAAGTTCCAAGCCCGCAAAATGCTGTGAATGTTCTGCGATGTTCAGAATCGGCGACAGGCTTACGGCCTAATAAACGCTGAAACCGCTATTATTATTATTTATCTAATTGGAGCATTAATAAGGGGTTTAGTATTGTGTTACGGCTTTCTTTATCGAAAATAGTTATGTGCGCGCAAGGTTTGTAAGTTATGGGTCGTCGAACACAGGCGTGCGGTCGCCATGTGCCTGGATCAGTTGGGAGACTCATCAGCTGCTTTGCTAGCGCATCATCGTGGCTTGGTGCAAGCTGGATTAGTTAGGCTGGATGCAAGCAGGATTAGGCCACTTGTTAGCAAGCAGCTTCATCATCGTGGCTTGGTGCAAGGTTACTGAAGGATTAGTTAGGCCACTTGTTAGCAGGCAGCTTCATCATCGTGGCTTGGTGCAAGCTAAATTAGTTAGGCTACTTGTTAGCAGGCAGCTTCATCATCGTGACTTGGTGCAGGGTTGCTGTAGGATTAGTTAAGCCACTTGTTAGCAGGCAGCTTCATCATCGTGACTTGGTGCAGGGTTGCTGTAGGATTAGTTAAGCCACTTGTTAGCAGGCAGCTTCATCATCGTGGCTTGGTGCAGGGTTGCTGTAGGATTAGTTAGGCCACTTGTTAGCAGGCAGCTTCATCATCGTGGCTTGGGCAAGGTAAGTGAAGTCAGTTTTAAGCAGCCGCCGTTCAATTTTCATCAAAGTTGGCACTACAACTCGCATAAAATATGCGTTTTATGATATAACACGAAGGAATAATTTGTGTGAAGTCGCACTAAAATAATGTAATATTTGACTATTGGCACATTTTTAATCTAGCACTACAATAAAAGTACATTATTGTCATCAAGTTTTCAATTTAAACTTAACAAGAAAACAGAAATTTTTATAAGACGAGCACGCAGAAAAGAATGAAATCCTGCGTACAATTCGTTACCTTTTCAGTATGTGGACACCAACAAGTCTAGGGGGAAGGGGATGAAGGGTCGCATTGTGCTCGACCTCACAGACACATGGTAATTGTAATATCACGAGCGAAATTTAAAAGGAACCGTCCCTTGAACGAGGAGAGTGAACGAGCTAGTGAGCGGTTATTATAGACTTATATGCGGTAGAATGCCCTGACCAGACGGCAGCCCAGACGACCAGAAGGCAGTGCAGCTCCATAGGCTACATCACGCAGGTTCATGCATAGGGTACGCACACAGTGGAAGCAGGTTTGCCCGCGCGGGCAACCTGCTCCAACCTGCCACAAGAATGAACATAGGATAATAATGTAAGTGTTCACAGTGAAAACCTGTACGATCAGTCTTCTGTATTCTATGGTTTCAGGAGCCAGCCTGAGCAGGTAACCAGCACGCTGGCAACCTGCTTTCACTGTGTGCGTACCCTAACGCTTGGGTGACGCATATATACTCGCTTAATTAAGTAACGACGATGTGTTCCTCCAGTTTGCAAACAATGGCGAAAGAAACGTACCTGATTTCGTAGAAAGAAAGTATTAGCTTGATTGATAGCACCGTTTTCCCGCTGATTATATAAATAAGGAACGTGGAATAAAAAACGATGATTATGACAACAAGCATTAGCTGTTTGAACTTGGGCATCACAGAGATCTAGTTTGGTATTTCATTGCGCAACCTCAGACGCGATCTTGTCGAAACTTAAATATCAGAAGATTTTCCCAGTAAAAATACATTTCTTTTAACAAAGTCAAAATGAAACAAAGGGCCTTTTTCAGATTTTCAAATGGGCAGAACAACACCGAGAACTTTCTACTGAATAGCACATGATTTCTGAGATTTTATCCACATCAAATTCACCGGAAACGTTTAGGGACAATGCACGTATATATTAAAGACGGTACGAAACGATAAAGTTGGTGTTAATTAGATAGCATTTGAATATCATAGTTATGATTAATGCACAGAATAATGAATATCAGGAATGACAACCACACATCAAAGTTTAATTGTTCTACAATTAGGACCTCGTCAGAAGAAAATCTACGAAGATATAGAAATGTAGTTTGGCCACCAAAAAGGCCTCTTACTGAGGCAAACCTATGCTGCTTTATACAAACTTCAGATTAAAACTGAGATTCAGTAAAACCTGAACCCGTCCACTGGATTTTCTTACTCCACTATTCATTAACCAGATATTTATACTCTGATTAGGAAACCTACGGCTTCACATTTAATAACATCTACAATACGTACATAAAAACACCATTTGAATGAATTCAGGTTGGAAACAACTTCTATTTGAAATGGAGTGGGCAAACAATTCAGCAGCACAACTCGACAACATATGCACCAGAAAATCAAGCAATCACACAGAAGTTAAATTGAGCGTCTTATTCCTGCTTGAAACTTAAAGAAAAGCGCAAAAGTTAACTGAGAAAAATATCTGAAATGTAGGTTGATATGAGTTGGAACGCATGTTTGACGCTCGAAATTAATAACAAATTTAACTGATATCATAAGATATTAAATTAGAAGCGCCCAAAAGCAGAAAGTAATAAAATTTCATGGAAGGTTCACAAATGAAATAGGCAAGAATTTTAGTAATGAAAATAATTATCCCAGCCATGACTAGATCAAACAAAAACTACGTTAAACTAGACTACAATATCGTCGACATCAGCAATTCTATTGTTCATGATGTCTCGTACAACCATCATTCATTGTTGCTCGTCGTCTGAATCTTGAATCATCGGTATAGTTGCACCGACTTCTTCTTCAATGCTCTTTCGAGACGGCTGAGCGAGAGATCTCATCGTTTCAACTTCATGGGCGTCCTGGCACGATGCCTCCAGGCAGCGACGAGGTACGGGATCAATAGAAGAGGAATCCTGTACATTAACTACTGGCGTTTTAGTTACCGGTACTGCTGTTATTGATGCTTCCAAAGTATCGGTGCTTCTTACAGTATTGCTTGAAGCCTCAGAATGAGCGTCCACAGCAGCAGAGGAAGCAACACTTGGCGGTTGTTCTACATTATCGACAACATTAGAATCATCTTTGCCCTCGGTGCCAGAGATTGTGATGCTCGTTTGGCAAAGAGGGCACTTGTCCTGTACATAAAGCCATTTTCTGAGGCATGGTGGGTGAAAGAAATGATTACATGAAGTAATGCAAGCATTCTGCAGCTCCGAGAAACATATAGAGCAAAGATCGTTGTACTTGTCGAGCTCTTCTTGCGTAGCATCGGGTAGTGCAGATATTTTCTTCGCAGCTTCAAGTCTGAGCAAGAAGCTCTTCCAGCCAAGCTGCAGACGCTGGAACACATTGAAATAGCAGTGAATGATGAGAACCAGGATGTTCATGAGCGTCCACTGGCCGGCTAATGTTTCCTTGATGCCCGCACCCACCACAAATACCGCCACCAAGAACTCAAAGACGCGGGTCGTAGCGCGGCTGTAGTATATGACGTCATCAAGGCCTGGCCAATCCTGAGCGCACAGAGCATCGTAGGTGAGCAGGCAGTAGGTGGAGAACAGACCAACGACTTGCACGGCAGTCATGACGCTCGTTGACACCACAAGTAGAAGCCAGAAATCCTGCTCGAAGAGTAGCGTGAACATGTACACCATGTACACTGGGAAAGCGAAGAGCGTAACACACATGGTGACAATGCGCAGATGTCGAGAAACAGGCGCCACGCCCTGGGCGCTCAGTGCCAATACTTGAGGCTCGATGAGCTCATAGGTGCTCTGTATGAGCGATGAGAGCACGATCAGCAAAATGACGGTGAAAAGACTGAAGCGATCAGGCATCTCAATGGAACACAGCGAAGTCTGCAGGGACAGCAGGAACATCGTGGCGCCCTCCGTAACGCCGTTCTGAGTGAGGTCCTGGACACGGGGATACGAGCGTCTTCCCATCACGAACCACTGAGCGCAGTACAGCAGTGCACGAGATAAGTAACCAACGGCTGTACACGTGCCCACCAGCAACAGTGGATTGTAGCAGACCTTGGCGGCAGAAAGGAGCAGAATGTAGGGCAGGGGAGGCAGAGAAGCAGATGCTGCAGGCAAGTCATCTCTGTCTATCCCGTCTCCAGCAGGTGATAGTACGCTCACGTAGAGGCTGCTGCTGTACATTGACAGCCAGAAAAGGAGCACTTGAACTGGGACAAAGAGCCTATTGATGAGGCTCATCGCCAGCCCCAGGGCGCCGTATAGCTCGAGCATGAGGCACAATGACAGGTAAGTGTCACGCACGAACTTGAGTACGTGAGGGAGGCACACAAAGATGTACATGACTGTGAGGAAAAGCACAAAGCAGGAGGAGAAGTTGTGCACGATGATCAAATGTTGCACAGGCAGGCCAGCCAGCCTCGCAAACACCGGCACCACGTACACCAACAGGAGGATCTGCAAACCAGGACAACTTTGTTCCACCTTCTTATGGGTATTTTTAGTATGAAATTTGTTGATATAAAGAAAATGAAATTGTAAAAATAATGATATTAGGTCAGAAAGACAAAAATATAAAAAATCATTCTAAAAACAATCTTAGTAAGAAACTTGCAAAACTGGGACCTTCTAATAAGGCAAGTCAACATGATCAAAATAATTGAAGATATGGCAGGTAAAATATTTGCCAATAATACAGGACTTCTAAGAAGAAGAAGCCATAGTTGATGCGGGAAGTTACATACCTTTTCCCTGTTGTTGTTGAGGTCGAGGAAGAAAGTTACGAAGCAGGCCACAATTGTATGGAAGACTATGGCTGATATTTGTTGTCTCATGAAGGAAGACTCGGCGGGATCGTCGTCAAAAAGAGGCTTGTGAGGAACCACTATGTTGGAGAAGCCCTGCACGTCACACAAATAAGCACCAATAACTTTATCTAAAAACAAATGCAGACTTAGCTACTGCATTTCAACCAAGAAATTGCATATAATGATTAAGCAAACTCCAGCTTTGATAATATCACTTGATTGCAAATCGGACTTGTGAAGAGAATCAAAATGCTTCTGAACATAGAAGTTAAATATATGCCAGGCAGGCATGAATGCAAAACAATGAATAAACTGATATAACTGATGATGAGAATCGAGTAAAGCCCAGAAGTACCTAATTAAAGGATAAAAGAGAACTAAGAATGAGAAAATTAATTTCATAGGGTACATTTTATCAAGTTTTGCACAAGAGTAGGAACTAGTCTGTTCATATGGGACAGTCAACGGAATTGGTATGAGATTGATGAGATGGAAACATATCTCAAATATATTGTCTTACCTGGAAAACCACAGCTTCATATCTGGGCCATTCTTCAACTCTGGTGCTCTCTGACGAGACATAATAGCGGGAGAACATATCTGCAGCAGCCAGTACGGCTATTGTGAGGTAGTGCATGTACAGCGTTACCAGCTGACGGAGTGGCAGAAGCAGCAACAACAGCCCCTGAATTAGAACTGCAATAACAAATATTATTAGGAGTACAATACAAGTACTGAGCACAATACATACAATTATGCGAGTACTTAGGAGTACAATACAAGTACTGAGCACAATACATACCTACAATACATACAATTATGCGAGTACAATACTGCCAGGCATAATGCTCAAAATTGAAGAAAAACAGCTGCCTGTCATAGGTACGATATCTATGCTATAGTGAAGGCTAGACCCACAAGTTAAAGCTGCACAAAGCATGAGCATGTTGGACATGTTTGGTTCACTAAAATAAAAGAGAAATTCTAGGACTTTCCATCACATTTTTTTGCAATGATTATTTCATTCAGAATGATTACTGGTACAGTATATACTGTTCTTCATTGAAATTTGTCTTTAAAGCAAAAATTGATAAATGAAGAACATCCAAAACAAATTTTTAAATGAGTGAAACTGTTGAACTTCTTCAACTGTGCTCTGTGATTTCCACAACACAGTAAAATTAATCAAAAACAGTACGAGATCTTTCTGTAATATAGTGGCTGCTGGGAATGAGTTCAACCTATCTCCTTGAATGATACCCTTCAGGCGCCAAGACACGAGGCAGTCATGGGAAGACTCGGGGAAGCAATCCCAAGAACTTCCCAAGATGACCCCTCAGAGTCGCCACCTCTCCCTATAGAAGTTTCTACAAAATACCATTGCCCGCACAAAAATTTTTATAGAATTTGCCTGGCCAGGCCAAGGACTGACTGTGCAGCTCAATCACACAAAGATTTCATTGGTTATGTCAAACTAACATACTCAAGCAACAGTCATGATGAGAGGAACCTAGTTCAGCTTAATAAATATTCTATATTGGCAGAAAAGCCATAAAGGTATCATTAACATTTCTTTGGAGGTTATTTGGAGAGTATAGATTTTTGGTTATGGTGGCAATCTAATGGTTAATCCATTAATGAAGAGCAAATAATGAAATAATGTAGTAGGCAGGAAAAAATTTAGCAGTAATGTAAACCAACTTAAAATAATTCAACTTTGTAGAATATCAATAGTATCAAATCACACATGATTTAGAGCTGCCTACAACAGCATCCTTAGTGCAGGACATATAAAACTCATTGTTCATGTTTATGACTAGTGAAAACATAAATAAAATACAAGCACCTTAGAAGCATTCAACTGATAATTTTATTGCAAAAAATTAATTTGCAAAGTACTTAGTAAATGGGTGTTGATATGCCTCACCAAATACAACAAATCCAGATGACACAACATCAGACCAGGCCATGGAGCGTGGAACAGAATTTGCAATGTCAAACTCCCACCAGAAGTTGAGAACAAAGTAGCCAGGGATACGCAAGATGATGGTGGCTATCGTCTCAAAATGCTCACAGTGCATCTTCCACCGCATCCCACCTGAAATGTAAGCAAAACTTTAGTTAAAATTGTCAGGATTATTATTAAACATTACACTTGGAGACTTCAGGAGCTCCTAGTACAATATTGAGGCAAATGAATAGATATATACTATCAAATGGTGTAATAATGGACAGTTTTTTGTTTTTCATTGATAACTTACCATGAAACATTTCATAAACAAGTTTAGGCTCATTCCAAAGGCCTTTGCAAGGGCTATTGTATTACATCTCTAAAAAATCCATATGCTATTTGTAAGGTGCCAGAAGCAAAAAGAGTTTCCTGAATTACCCCTGGAAGCGGGGTAATCCGGGACATTTGAAATAAAACTCAATTTAAATGTTTGAAGCATGCAGAGTGTACTCAACCATTACTAACAGTACTTTGAAGTCCTCCTCTTAAGTTGTAGATGATATAGATGTAGAATAAATGATGTTTTCTCTTATTTATACTTGTTTTTCCCTCATTGATTTTACCATATCCAATTTTCATTAACAAAAACTACCATCAAATGGGGTAATGAGGGACGAGCGGGGTAATAAGGGACAGCCCTCTGACATTTCGTAGAAATGTCAGCAAAACTAATTGAAATATTGAAAAACTACAACTAGTGGCATTAAGTTAAGAAAGTTAAGAAATCAAACATTTACCACCTCTAAAAAAAACCCAGAAAACAGTGTGAAAAGTGAGACAGACCACTGCTAAGGTCTGTAGGAAAAATATTTGCTGTATTAAAAAATGTTACTTGCACAAAAGTTGCACACAAGTGTTGCCTTAAAAACGTGATTGACGAAATTTGCATAGCTCATTCAGAAAAAAAGGCAGCTATTTCTGAGTGACAGGCCAATAAGGTACCCCCCCCCGGGGTAATAAGGGACCCCTACAAAAGCACATTTACAGCAGAACCTTGGTTAGCAAAGGCTCCAGTTAAAGAAAAAATCAATCAACAACAAAGAATTTTGATTACACATGCCTTGCTGAGAAAAAAAATTTAATTCATGAAAAATTAATGCATCATTATTCATCAGAAAATTGTGCATAGAATGTCATTGATAGAATGAATTGTGCACTGAGCAACATAGAAGGGAAAGTAATTAACCTAAACCATGATTAATTTCTCAGAAATTATTATGGTTGTCCTTAAAATATTCCCTGCTGTTTCAGGTATGTTTTTATGATCTTTTTTGTTATAGTGAATTCAATTGCATCAATTAAAATGGTACAAAATTATAAGCCATCCTGTAAGCTTATAGATGCAGAAGAAATGCTATATGGCTGCTGATATGAAGCTTGCATTGGACAAGGGTGTTGTCAAGGCTCAATGGCATGTTCATGGATACAGTAATACGTATCACATTAATAATACAATATTTTTTGGAAATGGTAATTTCAATGAGGGAAAAACTAGTAAAAATCATAGAAAAAGTCATTTATTTTACATCTACATCATCTACAAAGGAAGAGGAGGACTTCAGAGTACAGTTAGTAATGGATGAGTACACTCTGCATGCTTCAAATGTTTTAAAATTATGTTTTATTTCAAGTGTCCCTTATTGCCTTGTTTCCAGGGGTAATACAGGAGGCTTTTATGTTGTGTCTGGCACCTTATGAAGAGCATATAGAATGTTTTTGGAGATGTCATACGATAGCCCTTGCAAACTTGCAAAGATCTTTAAAATGAGCCCAAACTATTTATGAAATGTTTCATGGTAAGAAGTTATTAACAAAATATACAACCGTCCCTTATTACCCCTGACTTTTCCCAACCTATTCCCGTAATAGGTACCCCATCTTGCGGAAATGGCTTTTTGTTTTGAATTGATGTAAGCAAATTCTGTCAATAAGTTTTAAAGCCAACACTTGTCTGCAAGTTTTTCTTAAACCAAATTAACCCTCTAAAAAACTCTCTGCTTTGCCACTAAGCCACCATAGTGGCAGGCCACAGGCATGGAATATATCTACTTGATGAGCTGCAACTGGTCAGCTGTGATTCCATTTTGAGCCGTGAATTCAATATCTTGGCCATGAAAAGCCATCTACAAGGCGCAAACTTACTTACAAAATTCCAAGCACAAGTTACATCAATACCGTACCTCAAAATAGTCAAACCAGCAACACTAAGATTTGTCTTCACTTAAGTGGCAACTGAACATGTGATGATGCAGTCTGACCACTCTGATGAGACCGCAACTATGCAATCTTCAACTAAACATTTTGAGTTGACTTGTTATCAGGCATGGAATATATCAACTTGGCAAGCCGGCGGAGCCGCAACTGAATTTTTTGAGCTGTGGTTTTATGGATTTGCCAGTCATGATTCCATTTCTCCAAGCCATGATTAGATTTTTTGAGCTGTCAATTCCATATTTTGGCCATGAAAAGCCATTTAGGGTAAATGCACCCTATTCCGACATCGTGGGTAATTCTGATACTTCTCTCAACTTTTTCCTTTATATTAAGCTTTGTCTTAGTTCTATGCATGCGTAGATGGTTGAAATAGTAACGTCATACTATTGCCCGCCAGATTTACGCAAAACACTAGGTTTGGCAGGAAAATGTTAAGATCCTCAGAGCGAATGTCCACGCCACCCAGTGAGAACATCGAAAAACATGTCAAAGTTGATAGCTGACCTTGCTCTACCAAATAGTGATAAAACTGTTTGTGTAGAAAGAATATTATGGTTTGAGACTTTTAAATAAGTCTGTGAATATATTAGGAATCCTTTAGGTATACTTGTATTTGCTGATTTTAAGTGGCAAATAAATTAATAGATGATTAACTTAAGAGATGGTTTTAGACACATAAAAAATAATTCCGATACAGCTCAGAATTAGACACACAGCCAGTGTGGAATTCTGTATAGGTAATATATTCTCATGTTAACATGAGAAAATGTATTGAAAAACCTACCCTACCATGTTACACCACCTTCCACTGCAGTGAAAATTGGTTCACGAAAATTGGTTGAAAATTGGTCGCACGTGGTTTGACATCCAATCCCATGTTGGCAACGCCTCAATCAAGTTAACTAGTCATCTATCTGTAGGGTAGTGGACAAATTTTTGCAATGAATATGTTCTAAAATAAAAAAGAAAACATCCACATTTGCAAAAAATTCTTACGATTGGACAATACCAACAAAGTTTTTGATATCACACAAAATTATGCGATTAACTGTAACTTTTTCAAGGCGTATGTTCACATCGTGCTTCTACAATTGCATTTGACATGGCGGTGGCACACACACATTTCTTTTGGTCATGTCAAGTTCAATTTCACAATAAATAGACTTGATCCACATTCCATCCTGAGATTAAAATGATTGAAAGTTTTTCAAATTTTAAAAACCCATTTATACGTTCCAGATTTGAATTTTTTCAATTTTTTGCCCTATTACGTTGAATTTATCTCAATAAATTCACTTCAAATTCTGAATGATTGCATCTGCCATCGCAAGTTTTCAAAGGTTTTGTGTCTTTTAGAAAATGTTTGTTGTTTAAAATGGATAATTATTTTATTATATGAAACATAGAGCATGTACCATATACCTAGTGCATTAATACCGTTAATACACTTTAATTTAATAAAATTGGATTTTTAATTTTAAAAATATTATCAGATTTTTAATTCAACATTTTTCTAATAGAATTTAATTCTATAGCATGTACCATCTAGTGTATTAAATAATAAAATTTAATTTAATAAAATTTAATTTTAATTAATTTTTTAATTTAATTTAATTCTACAGCTTCAACTGGTAAAAATGAGCATCATAGGAATGAAAGTAAAAATGTCATTCATATATTACAAATTGAATGACATTGGGTGGATTTGATAATTATTTTATTAATCCTGTTTATATATAATAACGGAAATGACGCTTCTATTTCAGAATGATAATGGAAATGTTTCTACTATTTCAGAATCTTTTCTTGAATACACTTGCAAAAAATAAAGTTCTGTAATCAATGGAGTCTTTGAAATGACAAAATCGTTCAATTTAAAATTTTTAGCTATATGAGTGAGATTGTCATTCATCAATCATCATAGGAGCTGGAAGAAAAAATTTGTTGTTTTTGATGTAAAAGAATGTTTTTCAATTAAAAGAAATGTAATACTTGATTTTTGAAAATATGATGCTAAAATTAATGATCCATATTAGGATTCAATAGATGTTACGCTTTCAGAATTATTTTCAAAAAGTTTGTTTTGTTTGTTTGATCAGAAGTTTTTGTTCATTTGATCAAAAACAGAAAAAGTTTTCGTTCATTTGATCAGAAACAACATAATTAATCATTCTCTTGCAGTAAATATATAAATGATTAGTCAGACTCAGTTAGCGTCCGCAATGATCATCCCGCTAGCATAGTGGCAAAGCAGAGTTTTTTTAGAATCACTTCATTTTTAATTTCCTCATTTATTCAAGATCTAAACCAATTTATTATGTATGATGATACTGGTTTCCATGATACTTTACTGGTCTACTTATAGGACTAAAAAATGAACTTGAGGGAGAGTCTATAAAAACTCTCTGCTTTGCCACTATGCCCGCTAGATTATGCACCGGGAGCGGGAGGCAGGAATGAAGCTAGGTATTTAATTCAGTTGCACGCTGGCGACTGGCCCACGTGTTATGTAGTTCTGCTCGTCTTAACTCTGAATCCAGGGTGCAGAAGGTGGAAGCAGCGTCACCAATATATGGGTTTTTAAGCCCAAAGAGTCGCTAACCATTTTCAAGATGCGTTGCCATGTAATTTTTAATGAAAAGCCATTTACGCTGAGTAATGAAAAACTATTTACAAGCTGCAAACTTATTTACAAGGTTGCATGCACGTGTTACCCCAAATAACTAATTTTACCCTAAAAACAGTCCGATTGTACAGCAAGCATCAACTGAACATGTGATGAGGCAGTCTGACCGCTCTAATGTGATCGCAACTATGATTTTGTTTATATTTTTTTGGCGAGAACTCATCGCAACCAAACTCTGGACAAGCTTTACTCTTTACTGCATGCTGATCCATCCAACGTACCAGAAACCTTACTTTTTTCTAAATAGTTGGCCAAAGATTGACAAATATATTAAATGCAAGAATTTCAATCTAAATCTATACCGTAAAATGGGGTAACTTAGACCACTTTTTTTTATAAATGATGCCATTTTTTTACTAGCTAAATTAAACTTGAATTGAAACATGCAAAATACAAATTTTTTAACCTATTAGATATGCAAACTTTTCAAATCTTTCTATTGTGTTATGTAGCCTCAGTATTAGGCCATTAATGCCCATTGACAAAATTTTTCTATGTCAAATCGTTTTTGAGTTGTGAGGGTTTTTGTTAAAAAAACGAAAAGTGGTCTAAGTTACCCCGCCGGTCTAAGTTACCCCATTTTACGGTAGGCAAGATCTTCTGATGACATAAATTTTGCTACTGAAGCCGTGAAGCGTTGCCAAAGATCTTGCAATTTTCACACACTCTCTGCACAGTGGCTCTGAGTTGCGTGTTTAGTATGCATGAAGGAAAACTCTGCTTTGCAGCGTACTTATAATTACTTAATGAAGTTTAGTTCATTTTGCTAATTGTGGTCAACTTAAAAGACAAATTTTCAAATTTCAACTAGGTAACTAATACTTTTTATAAGTCTAATTTTAATTGTTGAGTGAAAGACTGAAAGGTGCAGGGCAGGCATACCTACAACTTCCAAGTGATTAGGTACTTTATAGATTATATTTATAGAAACTAAGCAAGTTAGCGTGCGTGTTTTAAGCATTTAGGAAGTTCATTTTTTGCCTCAAATAACGATGTTGGACAAAAAAAGTGGTCTTGGTGGATTGAAATAATATATGAACCTTCAAAATTAGAAATCCATCCTATGATCCTAGTTCAGAGCACAACAGAGGTTGGCACTTGGCAAGTTGGCAGTTGGCTAAAGATATGAACTCAACAAATTTAATTTACAATGTAAAAATTGAAATATTTTGCCAAGTGGCAAGTGCTTACCCTTACTGCTTACCTGGCAATTGTTGTCTTAAGTCCATTTTTCTGTTATTTCTAACATTAACAATGTTACAAGTTACAACATTAAACAATTGAAGTTTTCAACTCATTAATCTTAATGGTGATCAGCAGGAGATAACAGTATTTAAATAATGCTAGGTACACTCAGTAGCAAGTAGAGAGATTTTTGGCAAGGTAAGCTGGTAAGATAGTTCCTTAGTACAACAATAATATTAAAAAAATCGAATGGCATCACAAGAAGTTGCAATCTCGCACAAACTTTTCAGTCAACTGTCAACCTTGACTTGCTCATCTTCACTCTAAAAGTAAAACGTCATTGATTAACAAAGTAAGTTTTCACGTTAGTACCGACTACGAAAATTATTCCTTTGCCTTGATTATTTCGATACTTGTTGCTGTTACCACTTGCCAGGTAATTATTTCGATACTTCCATAGTGATCATGTTACAGCTGAGCTGAGCTTTTGTGGAAATGTATCGGATTCGGATGCTGTCATTATCCGTTGCTCCGTAATGTTATGCCAAGACCGTCTTTTGTCAATTTAATTTTGGAAGCGCAGCGGAGACCATGGTCGAACTATTAAAGCGGGGACCACAAATGTAGAAAAGTACGTTAAATCTCCAGTTAGTAGTAAAAATTAGCGTTCTTTTCGAAAAATTACTTTTAGTATAAGTTAGATGAATGAGCGTATGTTAGAGCGATTCCAATTAAGCGAGTTCGCAGGCGGGTCCGGAGAAGTGTCGATTCAGTGAAGATTTCTTACTCCATTCTTCTTTCCACCAGTGGGCCGGGTGTTTAAACGCACAAAAATTATTGATGCCAGGAAAGCCAGGTTCAGGTTGAAAGGTAGAAGCCGCAAGGAGCTTCCACACGAAAATTTTAGCAGGCTCTCTAGCGGTCAAATCAACAAGTTAATGTTAGCCTAATTCTCGAGTTAAATCGAATTATACAACATTATTATCTGAACAATGGAATTTCCTCGTCAATATGACAATTCAGTTGTCAAAATTCTGCCACAACTTGACACTTACTTACAAGGACATCTGTCACCTTAACAATGCCACTGCATCGAACTCGCTACTTTTAAATAAAACCGTACTGATCAGATACACATTTAATTCTATTCGAGGTTTGTCAGAAATTAACAGCTGTACATATAATACCTATCATAGCCTATGCATCTTTTATGAAGGATCGCGGCAGTCAAAGTTCCATAGACATTAACTATTCTTGCAACGTAGCAGATGTGCAGCCAACAAGCTTTGCCTGACACAATTGCTTCTAACGACTGAATTAAAACTTACCTTGAAAGTATACAAATACATCACAGCGAAGTCTCATAAGGAAATGAGAAAGGGTAGACAATAAATGATTTTATTGAACATTAATATCAACTCCCTGAAATAGCGCACATGTGTACGTTTTTGTTCGAAGATAGAAGTTCTTTTGCGTTGGTGTTGCCCATGACAGCCGCGAGGCGGGTGACATCAGAGCGCTGGTACAACACCGTGATGGAAGAACGGTGCTGTAGCTGGGACCGAGGAGCCGATTGATTCTGCAGCGACCCCTAGTAAAAACATGGGTAAGATAACCGTATTATCTACTCCATAAGCAGTAAGTAAAAAAATTAACCTTTATGGCTGAAGATTTTCCTAATATTTTCAAAATTTAATCAATACATTAAAAATTGAATAACCAAAAACAAAATATGTTAGCACATGTGTTTTAGTTTTATAATTATAATCAGAGGTCTAGCCAAAGCCATCTTGATGACATAGTTCGTCATCTGCACTCACAATCATCAAGTTGCACATTTCACTGAAGAAGGAACTGAAGGAAGGCAACGCATAGAATATGAGGTGTCTGATACCCTTGATGACAGGACGCTTGTAGTAGTGGAAACGCTCCGTGTACAGCAACAGTGGACTCGATCCTTTGAAGAAATCACTGCGCGCTACAGCAACGTGACTCATTTTCTGCCATAACAATGAAGTTTCGATTAACAACAGGACTTAAAGTTCTTCAGCTTTAAAGGCAGACATACGCAATCAAAGCACAAATCAAGCGCACTTTCTTTTATAAATTTTGTAAATTTCAAAGCCAAAGTTGGGTACGTTAATGGCAATGATATTCGTTTTACATGTTGTGGTGCGAAATAGATTAAGAAGGTAAAAGAATGAATAATAATAATTTCCTGAGTAAACACTTATGAGGTTTGCCAATGAAAAACGCAATACATAACAGAAAAATTAAATTTAAAATACCAACGTATTAAGCTGTAGTTCTTAGCGCTTATTTGTGATGGGATAAATATGAATTAGTACGTTCGTCTGCAGATACTTACGGATGTAAGGTACTCGTTAATAGATGAGAATTCGATAGCCCGCTCCTGAGCCAGGAACTGTGATAGAAGATAGTAGTCACTGGTGTCCGGGATGTAGAGCAGCGTGAACGCCTTACGAGAGGCAACGTGTTTAGGGAAGAACTCTTGCGTGAAGTAAGCAAGTCTTTGCTCGCCATCATTTAATCCAGGGCACCTCAGTAGCACCAGCTCAGCACTCACTAGCAAGTCACCGAGCACGCCAGCAGAGACAGGCAGCACTTCGAAGCGACCAGCGAAGTTACAAGAGCGGCTGAATAAGGCACGCTGCAGGTCATCAATAGCGGCGCTGAACATGAGTGTTTGGCGATAGAATTTGGCATGTCCGTCGACGCTCCAGGACCGCACTCGGCGCCCGTCGCTGACTATGTCGCGCACGTTTTTGATGGAGAGGTTCACGCTCTCCAGCACGGAGAGCACGTGGTCCCAGTTCTGCATGAGGAAGCATGACGCCTGCACTGGTAAAGGGCGTCCTTATGTCAGTACAACAATTTAATGAAATACGGGTTGAGGAAAGAGGAAGTAGATTGAAAATTGATGAATAGTATAAAAAGATAATTGAAAGGGGAAGACATGTAAAAATATTCAACTCGGTACTCACTGCAGTGAGTGACAGCGCAAATTTTCTCGTCGAAGAAAACGTGTGAAGTCACGGACGGACGGACAGACAGGCGGACATGGCGAGCACAATAGCGCATTTTTCCATAAATGAGAAAGTGCGCTAAAAATTAAGAAAAATCAAACAATAAGAAGAAAGAAACAAGACGATGACAAAAAAGACGACTGAAGGGTATGATGAATTAGAGTGAGAAGCATGAGGACGTAGTAGAGTAGGGGAAGGAGAAAAATAAATGTTACGAAAAAAATGGTTGAGAAGAAGAATCAGGAGGTAATTGATGAAAGAGTGGAGTGAGGGAGGAAGAGAGTGAGTATAAGAAGAAGCATAAGAATGAAAGCAATTAAATCAATGAAGAACAAGAATTAAGACGAAGAGCAACAAAAAATAATAATAATAAAAAAAAGAGAGCGATAACAGAGCAGAAGAATGAAGAAAGAGAAGAAGAATGTAGACAAAAAATAAATGAGATAAATGACGGAACAGAAGAATGGAGAAGAGATCTATGAGAAGAGACGTAATCATTATGATAGATTACACAAATTTGAAAAGTAAAAACTTAGACTAGATGATTTTCATACCACTATTTCTGGGCTGTAAATTTGCCATAGAAGATGCCCAGATTCGGGATACCACCGTAGAGGGATACTACCGTAGAGGGATACCACCGTAGAGGGATACCACTGTAGAGGGATACAACCAATTGCAGTGACTGGCCTGGTCAAGCACGAGCATCTCAATGGACGACAAGAAGCCTGCATTGTTGTCTTCCTCGCCCTCCACGCCCGCGACGAGACGGAGACCCAGCGGCGAGGCCAAGATTATGTCCGACCGTGAGAAGTTCGAGTACAACTGACCAAAGAAAAATATTTATTTAAGCTGTACACAAAAGAAAAAACTTCAATGGGTCATACAGAAATGAACCATCCAGCAGGTGAATGGTGTAGGTTCATTACACAAGCGTTTGAACTGGTGCTAAAAAATATAAAAGCTGGTAAATCATAATATATTCATGGAACGTGATATGCAAAACACCAGTTGATGACTGAAAAACAAGGAATATATACGAGTTTTTCTGCCCATTATACCCTACATCTCACTCACCCCTAGGCTTTTATTGCTGACAGTGATGCCAATTTTAAAGTTTTCAGATGTGTCACCAGTGAAGGTTGCAATGAAGTCTTCTGATCTTCCTTTCAGAGCTCTGGGTAAGTTGGTGTTTGTGTCCCCAGGGCCAAAATCGTCTTCAAAGCGCGTCAGATGCTTCACTTGTTGCTTGTTTGATAGTCCGAGTAGCTTCTGCATTGCCTTCACGACCCTGGAAAATAATACAACATTGAATACATTCTTGTTTGGTTTTGATGCTATGGATTAAAATGGAGCCTCATAAAGTCAGGAGTGCAATCACGAGCATTGGTTCAGTCAGTGTCAGTTGGTTGCGAGATGTCAATGAGTTATCTTGAGCACAGACAGCCAAGTCATGCCTTTCCAAATATGAACTGTGAAGTTGTAATAATGACCAACATTCACCTAGGAAGAGGTGATGTTCACTTGTGCTATTATGATAAAATATTTTCTTTTTCGGACCTCTAATATAATATACAAAAATCTGCCATCCTGCAGAGCAACATTGATTATGAACATTTAGAAGTTCTGCATGCATCTTACTTCCAAAATCTCGCAATTCAAATATGTAAACATTTTTTATTGTATTGAAATAAGTAATTCATGGAAAAATACCTAAAAGATATAAGAATGTTGACTAAAATCAAGGTACATATACTGCCATTATACTGGCACATTAAATTTATATTGGTTATAGCAACATGGACAAACTATTTAAATAGTTGAGAAAGCTTTAATTATGAACAATTTGAAAAGGAATGAGTACTGAAGATCACAGCAAATAAAACATATTTCAGTAAAAATATTGAACATTATTGTATGAACTAAGCACTCTTTTCTAGTATAGATGCTTCTAGATTTTCTTACCTGAAAGCAGAATGTTTGGAGGGCAGCAAGATGAGCACCTTGGCACGGGAAAGACCTTGATCTCTAAACTGATCAAGGTCTACATCAATCTTTGCAGCCCTTAACTTACTCAACTTGGAATTATTCTTCAGTATCCTGGTTCTTGTTTTCAAAACGTGGTTAAGAGCATGTATACTATAAACTTTTGTCACATCATCCCACTTTTCATGAGTTGATGATGGATAGTAAAGATCAGAATAATTAGCTATGGCATGTAAAAGGTGCTGCTGAAGAGGTGTTAGATCTCCTATATTCTTCAACACAGAGTCTTTGATGAACATAGAGTTTACATCGGGAAATTCAGGAACCTTGAATGGCCCTCCATACACTGGAGGAGGTGCATCAGAGTCAGCAGTTAGAAGAAGTTTAGGCTTGTTGCTCAGCGCTGGCAGTTTTGTAGGGTACGAGTGTTTCACAGCACCACTGAGCTCTGGCCACTGGTGATTGTCATGCTGCCAGGTGTTGCAGTCAAGCAAGCGCTCGGCTGCTTCATGAGACAAGACACGCTCAAAGTGAGTACAGAAAGGGTCATCAATGCTGGGTAAGCTATTCTTTTCTAGCTCATCCAGATCTTCATCATCACACTGCATCACCTGCCCAACACACAAGAGGCTTGAAAACTAGCCAATGTTAATAATAAACACAATAGATAAATGTTTCAGAATATAACAATAACACTATACCAGACTATACCAATACCACCATAGATAAATATTTCAGACTGTAGGCAATTTGAGGGCTTGTTCTGTTAGAAGTTGGTGGTCTTAGCCTATACCAATAACACCATGGATAAATGTTTCCAACTATATCAATAACACCATAGATAAATGTTTCAGGCCTCAAGGTTATGAATGCACCAAGACTTGTAATATGTAATAAGCTTCACAACTATTTGTGCTGAATACAGAACTACCCAAATTTATTAAATAACTTGATACATCACCAATCAAATTTTAAATATACAAATTTTAAATGCATATATAAGAAGCATATAAACAAACCTGTTTGCCGCCCTTCTGATTCTTCGTAGGAACAACCAAGCCCCCCAGATTTGGTTTCCTAGATGTGGAATTTTCATCATCAGAAGCACACATTAAGCTGTCAGCATCACTTTCTGCGTCTTCAGCAATTCCGCCCTCCAAATCTTCCTGTTCATCACTTAAATCATCACTTGAATCACTATCTCTGCTATTACATTCATCACTTTCTTCAGATTCATTATCATCATCATTGGACTCGTCATCTGACTGCTCATGACTTCCTTCACTCAATTGCTCATCCATGAGAGCTTTTTTTGCATTAGAAGAATTCAAATCTTTAATTTGTCTCGTCACCTGAACTTCTTCTGACTCATCTTCAGTGTCTTGTTGATCATCAGAATGATCTTCACCCTCATCATCACCCTCACCATCACCATCATCACCCTCATCATCATCATCTTCAGGGTCACTGTGAGTAGCCGTGCTAGCACCAAAGCTGTGCAGAAGTAGAGCATGGCTGTCAGTTGGCAGCTGCTCGGCATCCGACAAGTCACTGGAGCTGCTCTCTTGAGCGTCTTCCTCCTTGACAGGATGCGTTGCATTATGGGCCTGAATAGAATGTTCAAAATCAATATATCACATTTGGAGGAATAAATTAACAAAAATGATAAATTCAAATATAAAATTAAAGCTGTGTATTTATTGTATTCAAAATCAAAATATTACATTTGGAGGAATAAATAAACAAATATGATAAATTCAATATAAAATTAAAATTGTGTATATATTGTCAAATCAAATATGAAACCCTCAAAAAAATTCACATTCAAATAAAAAATTAAAGCTGTGTATTTATTGTCATATTAAACATCAAACCCTCAAAAATGATAAATTTACACAAAACACTTCAATGCACTTTAAACTATCACAATAAAAAATGATGACTTGATAGTTTTGAAATTGACAAATAAAGATAAATGTTTTGCTAAGAAAAAACAAATTCCAGCTCCCACCTTAAATTTTTTGTTGTCCTCTTCACATTCAATATTGTCTTCAAGTTTTCTTTTTCTAAGAAGAGCTCTCCTATAACTGGCTGTGTTATTCCTACTCTTGAAAGGTCTCCTGCCTCCACGACCTCTGCTGCCTTGTTTGGCTTTTGACCTGGAGTTTATGCCATGAGCCATTTTGCAAAATGAAAAATTTTGATGATGTTGACTGTTGCTGCAAAAAAGCAAGAAAATTAAAACCTAAAAAAGCTGCATTATTGATAAAGTAATCAATTAATACTTACTTTTATTGCATGAATGTACCCTATTAAAATGCACTTTAGGCAATGGTTTATACCTACTGTAACATGCTTGACATTGTAAAGCATGTTACAATATAAACCATTGTTGACAAATTGCGCAAACAATTGACAATTCAAGTTGACAAATATTTCAGTCCAGGGTGTCAGAAGCATAAGCAGTGACCTCAAGGGTTAAGGAAAAATAAACGTAACTTGTCAAAAACAATTTTTTCTTCACTGAAAATGAGCCTTCTTTTATCCATATTCTTTAAATTGTACTTTGTCTTTAATTTGGTAGTAGAATGCTTTAAATAAAAAATGCTACAAAAATACCTTAAAAAATACTTGAATGAATTTGAATTTCTTTGACTTACAAATGTTTAGGAAACCAATGATTTTAATGCACCCAAATAAATTTGTAATAAATTTATACATAAAGCATTCATAAAACATTTCTTTTACCCAAATAGTTGCTTAGGATCTTTGGCACAAAACATCAGCTACCGTATCTAGTGACAAACCACAATTTTTTTAGAATCGGTGCATTCTTTATTTCCCCATCTACTCAAGATTTAAACTAATTTCTTAGGTATGATAGTGCTGGTTGCTGGTATCCATGATTACTGGTCTACTTATAGAACTAAAAAAAATGAACTAGAGGGAGAGTAAAAAAAAAAGTTTCTGATTTGACACCATGTGACAGACACATCAATAACATATGTTACAAAATTGAGAAAATTGTTCTTCAAAATTTCCAGATGTTGCTTTTGAGGGAAAATGATCGTCTTATACCATCAGCTGTACTAGCGCAACTGAGTGCTTTTTAGCCTTATTTTTAGAGCTTAGAATGGTAATGACATGAAAAAGCTATGCAAGTCAGTGACAAAGTTTTACTGACATACAGTATAATTCTGAACTTAATGTAGGTGTGTTTCAAAACTCTTATTGATACGCTAAATAAATTTTCATCAACTAATTTTAGAGCACAGGGAAGACAGGCCAAAATCAATTCCATACACTTAGTACACAAGGGACACAGCCCCCAAATCTGTATTGCACTGCTTCTCCATGTTACAGTAGCAAATGATGTTAGCCTGTTAGTTGCAACAGCACACTAGAAGAAAAGAGAGATGAACAAAACACTGAATGTGGCACATATTTGACACTTATGCAAGATAGGTTTGAGGTAGGATCACTTTTCAATTGAAAATGAACTGCACCATGTGTTGCTGTTTTGTGACTTTCATCCAATCCAGACTCACAGAAGTAATTGTAGGCATCAATCAGCATGGGTTGTTAACTATGAGTATTTTTTTTGGTGGTTTGTTCTATGAGGGTTTAGTTGGTGCCTAACAGCCATTAAACAATGAAATAAAATAAAAATGTGGAGTAGCAGCTAGTGAGCTGAGCCATTATTGGTTTCAAGTTCAGATGATGACATGGGTCAATTTCATTCTGCATAGATACCAGAATGACAGTCTATGGCATGTGAAAGGTTTACATTGGCTACAAGGCTAAATTGAATTTTTGAATTTACAAGGCAAGTTGAATTTTTAAACTTCTTCTTCTTCTTGTTACTTCTTATAGGAGCACTGGAAACTGGTCCATTTAGCCCCTTGCCTAAGCCGGGTTTGGTTATTGCCTAACAGCCATTAAACAATCTGAAAGTCTGAAAACCTGCAACACACAAAAATGGAGAGAAAGAAAAGAAAAAAAATATAACTTGGTACTCACTGCAGTGAGTGAGAGAGCGCATTTTCTCATTGACAAAAACATGAATTCACGGACGGACAGACAGACGGACATGGCGAGCACAATAGGGCATTTTCTTCATAAATGAGAAAATGTGCTAAGAATGGCAGATGACAGTGGACAAAAGAGCATAGCACATTTTAGGCATAATCAGATATTAAGATTTGAAAGCAAGATGAAATAAAATAAGAGAGGAAGGGATACAAGTAAATGCAGGCAGGGCACATGTATCCACCCTCCTAAAACTTCTTTTTGTCCAATTTCTGAGAACTTGGTTCTTCACCATTTGCTTCACATTTGGACGGGCAGCGGAGGTTGGTCTGGACAAACCTGAGGGCAAAGGCCTTGGTAAGTTTGCAAGTCTGAGAAGATGTTTTGTTAGTTCATCCAACTACTAGGCCCTGGAATTAGTGATACATGCATGTTAGTAACCCTTACCTAACCGGACGTAAGAGTTACTAACATGCACTGCTACTACTAACAGTAACCTAACCTGGCTCTCTGACCCAGACAGAGAGCTAATGCTAATTGCTAATTTATTGCTAATTTATCAATTTAGATCTTGAACCTTGCCTCAAAGTGAAGTGTGAAGCAATGGCTATTAAATTTTAAAGTGAAGCAAGTGACTACATGTTTTCTTGGTTATTCAAGTTGATAGGACTGGTAGGTAAGGATGCTGCTCATCTCCATTACTCCTTACTAACGGGCTAGTAAATGGCTGGAGAGCATAACTTAAATCTATTGTATTTCAGTTGTTAAAATAAATTTTCCCCCATTTTTCAACATCGAATAGTCTATATTTTTGCTCTGCTCTACAAATGTTTTATTTAAATTTACAAGCTATTGTTAAACAGTGGTATAATTACGTAGATTTTGATGTGAATTGGCTTGTCACAATCGAAATCTGATGGTGAGCAGGGGCAGGGGTCCATCTCAGCTATTCCAAGCTGTGCAAGCTGGCAGCTGAGCCTGCGACACTGCTTCTCAGTGCGATGCTGAGTGAGCTCCACGGTGGTCGTGGGTGCACTACAAAATTCCATAAGTAGATGGTAATCCAGGGTGCAGCAAGTGGGTGAAAATCGCAAGATCTTTGGCAACGCATCAGCAGCAAAATTTATGCCTTCAAAAGATCTTGCTGAAACATTTAAATTGAAATTATTGCATTTCGGATATTGGCCAGTCTTTGGCCAACTATTTAGAAAACAATTGAAAATCTGAAAAACCGCAAGCACACACAGTAAGGTTTCCAGTATATTGGATGGATCAGGATGCAGTGAAGCTTGTCTGGAAATCAGTTGCAATGTGTGTAAGTGTTGCAGTGCATAAAGAGTAAGGGATATACCATCATAGTTGCTTGCAGCATTTTCTTATTGAAAACTACAAGGCAACGCATCTTAAAATGGCTGGCAACATTTTGGGTTAAAAAAACCATATCTTGGCAATGCAGCTTGCAAACTCTGCACCCTGGAATCCATTCCAGGGTGCAGAACGCATCCAATTACCATCCAGGCCCTGGATTAAAGGGAGCATGTAGGTCAAAATCTATTTTCTATATTTAGGGAAGGATCATCTCCAAACTTGGTACACATATGTAAAATCGACTATTTTGTTCATGTGAATTTTTCAATAAAAATGAAAGAGAACGTGAAATTCATAGAAAACGTCCAAAAAGGGGATACTCTAAAAAATTTATTAACTGTTGCAAATCACATGCTACAACATCAAGACACATATCATTCGATGCGTAAAGACCATATCTAGCAATTCTCGGTCACTTTTTCAATTTTTTTCTTGGTTCTCATGTTATGATGATTTTTCTGAAAAATTTTGAATTTTTGAATTTTTTTTTTAATTTTCCTAACTTTTTTAAATATTTTCAAAACATAAACAAAATAAAAAAAATGGCTCGAAAATTGCTAGATATTTTAATTGCGAATCTAATGGTATATGTCTCATTGCTGTAGCTTCAAAACTCTAGCAGTTATGAACTTTGCCGTGACAAAAAGTGTGAATGTTCAGTACAGCCCGACAAAGTGCCGCACGCATCCAAATAGCCACTCAATGTAGCAAGGAAAGGATACAAAATTCAATATTACTGGAGCTTGTACCAGTCATGGATGGTGGGAGCGACTATATGTAAACCTCCCCGTACAACGACAGGAGGGTGACTAAGCTTCACTCCGAGTAGAGACTCTATTTATAGGCTGGGTAGTGAATTTCCTCCACTCTTATTACTTAAAGACCCCACCCACCTCCCTCCCTTGCAGAATATCTAGTGAATACATAAATCAACGTAGAGAGATGGTAATGGTCCCGTTGGATAGCTCAGAATGTCAGCTTTAAGATGAGACTAAAAACCAGAGAAGTCAAAACTGTCAATTTGGGACCCACATGCTCCACTTAAGAATGCATCTTGAATCTAGAATGCATCTATTAATTAAGAATGCATCTAGAATGGCACCATACCTGTACCTACCTTTCCTTGTCCAATAAATCTAAAATTTTGCACACTTGCATAAAGTCCATGACAATGCATAAATTAATTGACAAAATATGTTATTAAAAAATAACTAAAAAAATTACATATAAAAAATTGAAAAAATATATGTAGGTACCGGTACTATATTTTTTCAAATAGGCATATTTAAGAAATAAAGTAAGAAATTCAATGAATCGTAAACACGGTATATTCCGACATCGTGGGTAATTCCGACACTTCTCAACTTTTTTCCCCCTTTACGGTACCTATATTAAGCTTTGTCTTAGTTCCACACATTCATTGATGATTGAAATAGTGACGTCATACACTCATACTATTGCCCACCATACTATTGCCAAAACTCTAGATCTGGGCCATCTGGCAGGAAAATGTCAAGATCCAATAAGAGACCGTGCACATCACCCAGTGAGAACATCGAAAAACGTGTCAAAGTTGATAGTTGACCTTGCTCTACCAAATAGTGATAAACTGTTTGTGCAGAAAGAATATTATGGTTTGAGACTTCTAAATAAATCTGTGAATACCATCAACCGGGGCTCCTCAGGACTGGTGGGGCTACTCGGGACAGTCCTCCGACATGGCGTAAAACTGTTATAGTAGCAAAACTAATTGGAATATTGCAAAACTAAATATAGTGGCGTAAATGTCAACATTTTTCTTATGTATAAAGGAAGTCCAAAAAT